CACAGATGAGAAAGATGGCGATGATGATGATGATGATGATGATGAGGACAATGATGCTGATGTGCTTCATGCGTGCTGGCATTCCGAGTGTGACTGTTGGTAGCACCACTGATCTTATGCTGTTGTGCCTTAGGTACCGCATGTTCTTTGCGTTTTTGTTTCAAGAGCTTGTTTGGCTTGATGTTCATTCGTAGAGTTTCGTAGTTCGTATCGACTGTTGTCAGTGTATGCTCGGTTTCGGTTGGGTGTGTTAAAAGTCAACCCGAGCATGTGCTTGATTGACTTTGATTCAGGACTCTTGAGCAAGGGACCGGAGGAGCGTGCAGACGGGGATCGTGATCACCATCTTCGAGGGAGGGACAGGGGGGGCAACCCACACCACAGTGAACCACGGGGGGGAGATACTATGGGGAGGGGGGGGCCTAGCAGCGCGGCACCATATATCGGTCGCATGTTGTTCCATGCCGGCAATTATAAATTCGAATGCTGAAGACACACCAGCGCTAATTAAATGGGATCCCATCCTTGCTGCAGTCGCGAAACTACGATAACCAGCAGAGATACACAAGCTACCCCGACCCAGCTTGGCAGTGGAGCTTTCGGAGCAGCCAGCAAGTCTGAAACTTCGATGCTTTCATGGCCTTCAACGTGATGTCATCTGTGACTAAACTAGCTAATGCTTTTGTATCGTTCAACCAGGGGCAGCTGAAAGCATCGCTAGTAGGGGGGATACCGCACCGCCATCATGTCTGAAGTGACGTTTCGGAAATCAAGGGATGGAACCACGGCCACGGCGCACTTGGCGCAGTTGGGCTGCTCACATGGGCGTGTCTTCCTCGGTACAGGTCTGTCCGCTGTCGCTTTTTAGTTTGCCCGGAGAATCCTGCCTGTAAAGCCACCAAAACAGCCAGGCCCAACCCCCAACCAACCACTCTCAGGCTCCGAGTGAAGAGGTTCCACCCGAAGCTCTCTCCGCAGTAAACCCCCAGGGCTGCCACGACGACGGCCTCCTGCAAGCATGTTCTAACAGAACACTTGCAGAAGTGGCTCGTACAGCAGGGGCGTTGGGTGCGAAATTTCGGGTACAGCTCAAGGGCTTCTTGGTGCGGATGCCGGGGCCTTTGAATTCGACTTGACAGTCCCAAAACCAATAGACAGCACTCTGAGCACCCACCGAGGGCATGCCTGCATGCTTCGGCCGACCAGGACAGTGTCGACATGGCCTTCGAGCTCAATCGTGTAGACCTCGGATCAGTGCCCGAAACGGCTTGGCACAACTGTCTCAGCTGCCTGACTACCGAACTTTTCTCGTGCGAGGCTCTTGTCTCTCGTGGGTCAGCTCGACCTCACCACAGCCTGAGTTGCTCAAGGGACAGCAGGACCCTTGCATCTCACCAACGACCGCCATGTGTGCTGCTCGAATGTAACTTACTTTACTGTTGCAGGCCCCACGAATTCGGGAGATGTTGACGCGCAGCGCGCTGTGTGAAGTGTGCATAGGTACCTGCCAAGTGAAAATGCATGTTTCTGCCGGCGTGAACATCTCGGCGATACGACGTGGGCAAGCACAAGGACTCTATGGTGCAACTGCAAAGCTCTCTGGCCGCCGCCACGTCCCACCCATCTTCACGGGATGCCCGGTTGTGAGCCGGCAACCGGGGATCACTTCCTCACAGCAGCAGGCGCAGACAAGCTACGACCGGGACAACTTTGCTATTGCAATTCTGTTCAGTTGCAGTCACAATGACAAGCATGAAAGACATAAATACAACTTCTTTTGACCACATTGCTCTGAGTGGCGACCGTGGCAGATTCGCCTAGTGTAGGACACTGCCAGATCCGGGTCACTCGCCGGAACTGCTCTTCCCTCACCTCGGTGATTGCACCATTCTTGGGGGATTTACAGGACATACAGGCTTTCCACCCGACAAGATGGCCAGGCATCTGTATAGCACTGCATGCACCGTATGACTGCATCAGGCATGACAGACACGCTCCTTCATTTGGAGATTCCGGCCCCTCATATATCTTAAACACCAGCTCAACGGGCTCGCATCGTCAAGGTTCAGGCAACACTTTCTGGGCCACGCTTTGTGTTTCAGCTCTCGCACTTCCTGTGACGCCAAGTTGCCGGAGATCCAGTGTGCAGCATATCCCCCTCTTTCAGTTGTCGCATGCTTTTCTGAACCGGTCGACCGGATTTCAGGACGTGGAAGACGCAGGAGTCAGTGAAGCAGGTACCTGGGCATTGTCCGATCATGGCATGTCCGTTCTGAGGCAGCTGCTGCTGCTTGCTTCCGCAGCATGCTCGAAAAAACTCTTTGCCTCTGCCACTGGATTTACTTCCAGCTCTTTCAGAGAAACTCCGCTGTCAATCCCTGCAGGAACAAACGCTGCTTCTAGTCGAGCCGCAGCGGACGGAGTCTGGGCTCCACGCACGGGCTACCTGAGCACAAGTTTCACAGCACGCCGTAAACTGTGAGCGGACCAGAGACAACTAGGTCGGACCCCGACAAAGGTGTGCCACGATCTGCACCGACTTCTGGAAGCTACATCCTGCCACGGCATGCAGGTGCCGGCATCAACCAGCATAACACTACTCCAGAGGATAGTAAACACTCATATATATATATATGTATAATCTTAGGTATTTTATTATGTATGAAATATTCATTTATGTCCAACACATCGCTGCCTACTGGTCCCTCTACTGCGGCTACTCCGCGTACTACTACTTCTATCGCATGTGTCCCCAGTGTATTGTGGTGGCTATGGTGTTGGTGGGTGGGAGCCCTCGTCATACTAGAAGCAGCTGCAGGAGCAGTAGCGCTGCAAAGTCCGGCTGGCTAGGCAGTGCACTAGCATCCTCAAAGATCTCGTAGCTCCTGAAAACACTAGCAAATCTTCCCAAGGCGCTGCCGGGACAAAGTCACGATTTGCCTCTCCCACACCATTCTGGGTATACATGATACTCGATCACGTGGTTTGAAACCCTGAGACACTTCTTCCACCAAGTAGCAGCCACGGGCTTCGGACGTGGCTTGGGCGGAGGCTTCTTCACACGGACCAAGCCTGAGGCTGGGACAACTCGGCTTCTGGTCTACAGGTCTTATTGATACACAGGAGTCTTTGTACAGACTTTCGGGTTGTGGGGCATGAAGAGAGTCGCTATAACAATGATATACCGGAAGACACATGTAGCTGCAAGATATGACGGCAGACGTGTAGCTTCCATAATGCAGTCAGCTTTACACTCCGAAAATCCCAGACAGACTTAGAGCAGGCAGAGACAGCTCGCATTGCAACACTGGCCATGACCGAATCATCCCATGGACTGAATTCAATGCCAGATCGTCGACAAAGACTCGGCCCCAGCTGTCAATTCACCAACTGCAACCTATGCGCGAAACAAACAAGAGTCGGTAGTCGGGAAGTGCTCTGTTGCTCGCACGAGCAATAGTAAAGAAACAACTGTAAACGGACTCAGACGGAATATGCAATGATGGTATTCTGGCAGTTGCTGCGAAAAACCAAACACGACAGCGTGGGATATGTTCGCAGTGCCGACGGCTGTAGTATCAGCATGCAGTTGTGGCAAACGGTCAAGTTCGTGATCCCTGGCAGTCTGATGTTGGTCCTGTTCTTGCTTTTGGTGGATGCTGCGTTGCTTTCGCTGTTGCTGGTGTTGCTGCTGCTCTTGGGGCTGCTGCCGTTGCTGTTACTATTACCATGGGTCCAATGGTACAATGACAATGCAACTCCGCATGGCAACAGCAGTTGTCATCGTCATCGTCGCCTTAATTATCAGCAGCAGTAGCATGGCCACCATGATAGTCCCACTGCTGGCACTCTCACTGTGAGTGAAAGTATTCTTCTTAATCTTACCCTCCCCCCC